CTGAAAGAAATTTTTTTCCCGCCTCTATATATATAAAAAGAATTATCATTTTTTAAAAATGGCAAGTCAAACTGTGGTCAAATATGGTTGAGCATTAATTGCATGCTATTAATAGCAAGTTTTTGTTTTATTTTTGTATTTACAAACGTGCATCATTAATTATTGCATTTAAATGTAGAGTTTGTTAAGTGGAGTTTGTTATTTATTTTTGCACAAGATTAGACTGTTCTTTTTTCATTTTCACAAATTAAAAAAAAAACTTTCTTTAACATATAATCGTGTACCAAATTGCAAATTTTATTTTATTACAAAAAATAAATTACGCCTAATTTAATAATATAAACTTACATTATTATTTACAAAAGATCAGAAGCTCTTTTAATATCAACTCGGCTACTACAATTGTTTTAACCGAATGCTTTTATTTTTTAAAAAAAATAAATTACCGTTCATTTATTTGGTGGATTTGGTTCAATTAATAAATTACAGTTCATTTAAACCCCTAAAAGATAATTGGTGGATTTGGTTCCATTAAGTTCTAAATATTTCGATCATTGAATATAATTTGAAATTCAAAATCCTTTCTCATATTTGATTTAAAAAAATCAATTGTGTTTTTTTTTTCTAAACAATCAGATTGCCAAAAAATTATCTTAAAACTTGAATTGAAAATTTGAAATTCAAAATCCCTTCTCATTTTAGTTGCCATAAAATTGGGCTTAATTCAAATTCCCTTTCTAATATAAAGGATTTTGTTCAAATTGAATTAAAAAATATCTAATCACATGCTTCTATCCTTGGACGGCTAACCTTTAATTAAGAATTTTGCGCCACTTTTGAAATTAACAAACCTATTGAAAATTACAAAAATATAATGAATTTTATTTTTTAGGTTTCAATTTGCACAAAATTCAAAATGGTTTAAGAATTTCAAATCAATCGAAATTCATCTCTTTAATTTTTTTCCATAAGTTTCAAAATTTTACAATAATTAAGTCAAATTATAAATATATTGTTTCAAAAATCAAGAGGATAATTTTGAAAATAGGCAATTTTTTTTATTTTTTTCAAAATTGTCTTAGTCTCCATTCTATATAAAATATATATCATTTTATTTGTAAAATTAATTAATTTTCATAAAGCGTGGAATTTTATGCGTACAAAATTTCTTTTTACAGTCACAAAAAAAAATTAATAATTTTGAAATCTTCTGTACTCAAATTACTTAAAATAATAATAATAATAATAATAATAATAATAATAATAATAATAATAATAATAATATTTACAATAACTTATAAATAATAATAATTTTGAAATCTTCTGTACTCAAATTACTTAAAAGAATAATAATAATAATTTTGAAATCTTTTGTATTCAAATTACTCAAAAGAAATAATAATAATTTTGAAATCTTCTATACTCAAATTTTCAGGCACGGTAGTATCGTCATAAGTTTCAGCATCATGTCAATATTTATTTTATATATACTAGGTAAATTTTTTTTTAAAAACTTTATAATATATTTATTTAGGCTTATAATATTTTAGATACTTTTATATAATATTTTATCATGTCATATTCAGAAAACATCTTTCATACAAATGTAAACTTTAATGTTTTAGATATATTTTATTTACAAAAAAAATTTAAAAAGTTTTATGTGACTTCACATCTTTTGATAATAATATAAAAAAGTTTAGATAATTTTACGTATGTTAATATAATATTTTAGGAGTTTTTAATTGCTTAAACATACAAATTTTATGTTCTCTTGAACAAGTTAATTTTATATCGTTTATAATAAACTGATATACCGTAAATTATATGACATGTTAACCTCACATCGTTAATTTATAACTATTATTTAATATCATTACCCTTACCTTTAATTTATAATATCATTACTTACTCTTTTAAGAAGAGAACAATAGTGGTTACCCACTTCGGTGACTCGAACTCGATATTTATCTATAATTATTATTTAATATTATTTATCAGTGCATCGCACGGGATAAGTATGTCATTATTAATGGTATTAATAGTTTAATACTGAAACAAGTCACTCACATTTAAAATGGTGTTGAAGTTAATGATTAAAATTGAACACATTTCCACGAAAAATGTTGACTGAAGTCAATCCTTATGAATTTAAACTAAATAACATTTTGTGCCATTAATTCCCCAAATATAAATGTAAAATGTTTTTCATTTGGACAATTATTTCGAGACATTCTATATACAGTTCTTCTATTATTTGAGAAGCCAAATTTACACCATTTATAAATTTAATAAAGAAATAGAATAAATCACAAATATATAGATAATCTATACATCGATATAATAATAATAATAATAATAATAATAATAATAATAATAATAATAATAATAATAATAATAATAATAATAATAATAATAATAATAATAATAGTAAAAATTAGCATGAGAAAACAAAACTTGAGTTTAAACAATATACGGAAAATGGAATTATATTGTTTGGAAAAATAAATATAAAAAATTGATCTGATCTTACTGGATGTTTGGTGTTTGATATAATACAAACATTTAATGTAGCGTTGTATCAAAAAATAAATATTTGTATTTATAAAAAAAATGGAAATTTTGAATCTAATCTCAAAACTCATTCCATAATCAATCAAAATAGAGAATTTTGTTGTAAATATTAAGTTGTGGACATTACCTAGATATAGGATTTGTAGGCATGGGCCAGGAGCCCATTAGGTATTTACTCATGTACATTATATTCCCTTATATATAGGGCTCAAGTGAATGAATAAGATGATGGTTTTTGACGGCGTATCTCTTCTCTCTTATTCTCTTCTCCTTCTACTGGTTCTATCTTTGTCTATTTTACACATAGATTTTACGTATTGTCAATCTATATTACAACACGTTATCAGCACGAGCACTCTAACCAACTGAGCGAACGACGATGGCATCAAGATAACCAGGCAATCAAGGTAACAATCAAGAATTGAT